GTCGAGGCCGACTAGTTATCTATCCAAGTCTCGGTCGAGAAGGGTTTCCAAATCCTTATTGGCAAAGGTCATCTTATTAGCCTTCTCGGCGAAGTAAGGTGTTACAAGTTACGACATTCGGCACATTGAACGCCGAGTGATTTTATGATTAGATACTCACAAGTGAGTTTCAGAGTTCGGCATTCTGACGGTCGAACCACATTTACCATCAAGATATACATCTCCTTTGAGTACTTGTGTCCATATAGTCTGGTGTCGATTCGATGTGCTTATACTCTCACGAATATAATCATTGTGACTGAATCCGGTGCCAACCATTCGTGAACTTCATAGAACTAGCAGCCTTGTCTTCAAGCTCGAGAATCTGAAGGCCGAGACTTGTTCCTTCCTTGACCGTAATCGCAAGATCAAGAAGTCAGCAACGCGCTCAATGCAACATCAACAAATTGTACTCTTCGGCCAGGCTCAGCCGACGAGTTGGCACACCTCGCATCAACCGAATGACGTAGTTAGCTCATTAGTTACTCAGCCTGTGCGCCACGTAGGCTTTGTAATTTTTAGGGTCAACAACAATTCTCTAAAATGTTTTTTGCTATCGGTCATGGTAGGGCTAGATGCCTTTGTTTGTGCTAGAATGATCTTAATATAAATCTAAATGTGATTGCCCATAGTTCCAGATTTATTCATTGTGAAGTCATGGAAAAAGTTATGAGAATCATTTCTTATTTACATGTGTATATGCCTATCCCCAAAAGAATCTTTAACCTCAATTGTGGAATGAAATTATTAATCTAATTCCAAGTAATAACTTTAACCAGCCTTGGATGCTTCTTGGTGATTTTAATAATATTACGAATCTAGTTGAAAATGTTGGGGTGACAGAAATGCCAATAATCACTTGATAAATTTCAATAGCTTCCTACATGGCGGAAATTAAATTTCTATTCCTACCTCTAGTGTGCCTTTTACCTAGTGCAGTGGTCATAGGATAGTACTATTATTTTCGAGAGACTTGATAGGGCTATTGCTAATATGAGCTGGCTTAACTCGTTCCCTAATGCCAAGCTCCATAACTATCCTATATATGGGTCTGATCATAGCTCGATCTTACTTGAGACTAGTAGTTATAGTAATGCCATCAATCTGGGTGCGAGTACCTTTAAGTTTGAAGCTATATGGTTCTCCAACCCGGATTTTAAAAATATTGTAAGTAAAGTTGGATACAAAACATTCCTGGCAGTGTTTGTGATAAGATTAGGGGTTATCTGGGGACATTTAAGTTTTTGGTTAGAAATTGGAATAAATATGTGTTTGAAAATTTATTTGAAAAGAAGAAATGTCTCCTGTGAGACCTGAATAAAGTTTAGCAAGAGATTATGCATGTTTATGATCCAAGTAATCTCTTTGATAAAGAACTAGAGATAAAAAAAAAATTATTAAAAAAAAAAAAACCAGCTGAGTGAAGTGTTAAAGAATGAGGAATTTTTTCGGGCCCAAAAAGTTAGAACTGACTGGTTACAACTTGGAGATAAGAAAACTAAATATTTCCAAATGGTGGCCAAATAAGAAGAATAAGAAATGAAATTAATAAAATAAAAGACAACCAAGGAAATTGGTGGTGGGAGGGTGATGGTTTGGAGAGAGTATTTGTGGATGATTTTAAAAAATAGGTTCTCAGCTTCTAACATGCCTTTCCCAGGAGTTCTTGATAAATTCGTTGATATTATTGATCCTTGTATAAGTGTTGAGCAAAATGGCAGGTTAAATAGCCTTATCATTGAAGGTGAGGTGGCTGATGTTGTTAAAAGCATTGGTGCTTTGAAAGCACCAAGACCGGATGAAATTCATGCTTCTTTTTACCAAAACTACTGGGATCTTGTTGGTCCCTCAGTAGTAAATTTAGTTAGGGACTTTTTTTGACAATGGCTCAAGTCTTAGACTGATTAATCATACTAATATTGCTCTTATCCCTAAAGTGGAGAACCCTGAGGTGGTTTATAGCTTTAGACAGATTAGCCTATGTAATGTCACATTCAAAATTATTACTAAAACATTGGTGAGTAGAATTCAGCCTTTATTAAATAGGTGCATTTCCAAGAACCAGGGAGCTTTTGCTCAGGAAGATCCATTCAGGATAACATCTTTATTGCTCATGAAGTGTTTTCCTCTTTTAAAGGTAAAAATGGTGCAATGGCTATTAAACTATACCTTGAAACGGCCTATGATTTCCTCAGTTGTAATTATATTAAAGCTATGCCTGCTAAATTTGGTTTTAATGATCACTGGATCAAGCTTATCATGGAGTGTAGTACTTCGACGTCCTTCTCTATCCTTATTAATGGTAAGTCTCATGGTTATTTTTGTCCTTCTAGAGCTATTAGGCAAGGAGACCTTCTATCTCCTTATATTTTTATCCTTTGTATGGAATCCTTGATTAGACATTTAGATAAAATTGGAGAATCTTCTAAAAGTAATGTTGGCTTGTTGACTGCACCTCGAGGTTTTAGAATTACAAATTTGATGTTTGTAGATGATTGTCTAATTTTTGCAAAACCACTAGTACTGCAGCCAAGAATATTGCTAAGGTGCTGGGTAATTTCTCTCATGCCTTAGGTCAAAAGATAAATTTTCATAAGTCTTCTTTTTATTTTTCAAATAATACGCTTAACCATACCAGGAATGATATTGTTAATATTCTAGTGATCCAACATAAAACCACTATTGGTAGGTACCTAGGCATTCACAATATCATTTTCTGGAAGGATCAAGTTAATGCAAAGGAGCTTATAATCAAGATTAAAAATAAACTTTCTGGTTGGAAGGAAAATACCCTTTTCTAAAGCTGGAAGGCTAACTCTTATAAAAGCTAATTTATTAGGTGTCCCCAACCATACTATGTCTTGTTTTAACTGTTCTGAGAAAGTTACAAATGCTATTGATAGGGAAAGTTGGAATTTTCCATGGGGTAAAGATTGCAAGCTTGTCCTTGTGGCTTGGAATAAAGTGTGCAACTCTAAGGAAAATGGGGGATTAGGTATTAGGAAAAGTGTTCATTTTAATAATGCTTGTTTAGCAAAACTTGGGTGGAAAGTTCTTACTGATAACCAGAATTTGTAGGTACAAATTGTTAAGAATAAATACTTGCAGGGGAATTTCCTTCACACCAAAATAAGACAGAACCACTTATGTGCCTGGAAAGGTATTCTGAAAGCTAGAGATGTTATTAGAATGAGGCTAAGGTGGGTTGTGGGAAATGGAGATGGTATTTACTTCTGGACCCATAATTGGGTTTTTCCTTTCCCACGCTCCAATCTTGATGTTGTCAATCAAGTTAATGATCTCGATTTGAATTTAAAGGTGTGTCAATTCATTAACAATGGACAATGGGACAAAGACCAATTGCGGTGTCTGGTTGATAAGGACAATGTGAATAAAAGTTGTAGTTTTCCTTTCCCCTTGATTCCCCAATGTGATTCATGTTGTTGGGGGACCAAATGCGAATGGCAAGTTCTCAGTTAAGTCGGCAATTTGGATCCAAAATTGTGATAATAATATTGTGAATGCAAGAGAGCTTCTAAAGAAAATGTGGAATCTCAAACTCCCTCATAAGGTTAAAATTTTTAGTTGGCTTCTTATTCTTGGAATGATCCCCACAAGAGACAGACTATCAAGATATGTTGATAATATTTCATCTATATGTCCTATGTGTAATTTAGAGGATGCAAATAGATCCCATTTATTTATAAATTAAGGTTTTGCTAGACTTGTTTGGAATTGTCAAGCTATATCAAACAACACAAGGTTAAATCAATCTCTCCTCTTTAATGACTGGCTAAATGCTCTAGCTGTCAAGAGTGATGAAGGTTTATGTGATCTTAGCAAAGCTTTACTAATTTGCTAGCAAATTTGGAAAGAGAAGAATCTAGTTGTGTTCCAAAGAAAAAATCCAAACCTTGTAAGGATTGTTAAGGCTGCTCTCAACTTTGGAAGAGACTTCATCATTGCCAACAACATGGTTCCTGAAGGTTGTGATGATATGAGGTCTCCACCGCCCTCCTTTATCCGGTGGTCCCCTTCCAAATCCTGGTTTTTTGTTAAACTTAATTTTGATGGCTCTATGGTGAATCAAGGTGCTACTGTGGGATTTATGATTAGAAATGAGAAAGGGGAGCCTATTGTTGTGGGAGCTAGATTTATTGGTCAGAATACCATCTCTATTGTAGAATGTCTGGCTTTACGGGATAGTTTGTGGATGGCATGGTCTAAGGGTTTGTCTTGTATTGTGGTGAAGGGTGATTTGAAGTTGGTGATTGAGTTCATCCGTGGAGCTTATAGCCCCCCTTGGAGATTGAAGTCCATCTTGGAGGAAATTCGCTGGCTTGTTGGTTTTTTTTATGACATTTGTTGGAAACATGTCTTCAAGGAAGTCAATTTTCTGGTGAATGCTATAACTAGTATCGGTTACTCTGTTGCTGATTTTCATGTTTCGGATAGAACTCTTCCTTTGGCTGCTCGTCAAGCCTGCTTGTTTGATTATACCCAAACTGAATGCCCTAAGGGCTTTTCTCTTTAATGAAGTCCTTTTCTATCAAAATAAATAATCCGACATGCCCGTCAAGCCTTCTAGTTTGATTGTACCCAAACTGGATGTCGTGGAGGCTTTTCTCCTTAATGAAGTTCCTTTTCTATCAAAATAAATAAATAATCCGTCATGTTGTGTAGCTTTATGTGTCATTTTCCGTAAGGTACCAACCATGCCCCTTTATAAAATTTAAAGTACAAAAAACAAAAGAGAATTGTTATTAACATTCCAAAAATCTCATTTTACACTCCAAACTTTCTATATTACGAAAGAAAAATACATTTGTCAGGAGTGTAGAATAAGATTTTTGGAGTCCCAATAACACTTCCCAAACAAAAATTGATCTCACAATTTTAAAAATATATATTTTAACTTGTACATATAACTGCCTTGACACATATCTTGTATTCACGTAGCCTTCAACAACACGTTCCTTTCAAGGAAACCGTATTCGAGATTGAATTAAAATTGGGCAGGGACAAATCCACGGTTTTAAGAGAATACAGTATTCTCGCGTTGCTTCCTTGACACAAAGCAGTAATGTTACGGTGGTTCACAAGAGCACATATAATCCACAATCTCAGAACAATAATAGTTTCCTGTTCTACGAAACAAATCACCCGCCAACCCGCCACTCTTAGGCCTTGAGAATTTTCGTCAAGTCTTGCTTTCTTTGAAAGAATTTTATCAACCCCTCTTTGCAATCCCTACATACGATGTTGACAGGTGGGTTTACTTTAACAAATGAACACAGAGCATATCAACATCACAGGATTCTGTCCTGAAGATCCGTCATTAAATTGGACGCCAAGGAACTAAGCTTCTTCCCGGTCTCTCCAGCGATATTCGTTAAGGAAGAGAGATCCTGTTGTGCCTGGAAAGGATCACCCCCCCAATTAAACCCAAATTCATTAAACCAACCTCAGGATGGAAATTCAAAAGCAAATACATACAACACTAAAAAACCACCGGCGAAGTTTATTGTCTACCACTGCAAGGCATATACCTGAAACGACAGTCGGTTGATTAGGTCGCTTGCAGTAAGATCAATAGCTGAATTATCTCCCCTGTCACCAAATAGATCAGCGCTGGAGATGGCTGCAGAACCCTGGAAGTAGAAAGACAATTGTGTTATCAACTGCTAAATTCATTCTCCAAGATTTCCCACTATCTCAGCATATCAAATATATTGGCAATTTGGTATTGACTTTCAATGCTAAAGTTTCACACGAAAGTTTTATAACTTCAAGCACTCCCAAATGTCATGTCCAGACATGAAAAATACGCATAAGATATGTAAAAATTTAGTTGAACCATGTGATCATCTACAAGAGTGGGTCATCAAAAACACAAATAGATTTCCTTTTAATGAGGAAGGGGGATCGTATAACTGGTACAGATTGCAAATTACTGGGAAGAGCCTACTAGATGGTGGATCTAAAAGGAGAAAAACAAGTCACTTTCAAGGAGAAAGTACTCGGCCAATGCGCTAGAGATACAGATGGGAACGTTGGCCAAATGTGGGATTCCATGGGATTAAGAAAGAACATTGTAAAGCCTTACACAAGGATAGAACCTATGAAAACTTTGAGAGGTATAAAATATCGTAGGAGGAGGCAAAGAAAGGATGAGAATGAAAATGTTTTAACTACAGAGAACACGGTCTTTTCAATGAAAGACACGAAAGGAGTACTTCTTTGGGTGAGTTGAGTAACCCAGAAGGGTGTAAAAATTACTTCTATCGCCGAATCACAAAAGAGGAAGTGGTTGTAGCTTTGAAAAAAATTAAGCATAGAAAAGAAGGGTCCCAAGAGCATATGCTCCGATTAGAAAATGTGATAATGGGATAGAGTCTCAAGGTGAAAGGGGTAACGGAAGACCTAGGAAGACTTTAGATAGAGACTTTAAAAAAAAAAGACATGGAGTAATTGGAGCTAATAGAAGACTTGGCACAACACTGAGCGCAGTGGCATTCTAGGATTCATACAATCGGCCCCACTTAATAGGATAAGGCTTTATTGTTGTTTTTGTATTCATTTTGTTTAATAAAACAGCAAAACATGGATTCAAACAGCCAACCACTAAGTGGGATAAGGCTTTGTTGTTGTTATTGTAATGTAAAAGTATGTAGGCGTACCATGTGTGCTTACTCACTATCTCACTATGGTAGTTACCAATAAAAAATCTAAACTAATTTCCATCTCATGGATGCTTTAATATTCAAAAGACAATTTACTTCGGTTGTATGTTTTCCCTAGAACACGTACATAAAATGGGTGTAGCGGAGATGAGGATGCTTCATTGGATGTGTGGGCACATGAGAAAGGATAAGATTAGGAATGAGGATATCCAAGGTAAAGTAGGAGTAGCCAAAATTGAAGGAAAAATGAGAGAAAATCAGTTACGGTGGTTTGGACATGTGCAAAGAAGGCCTACTGACGCTCCGGTTAAAAGCTGTGACTACGGGACAGAGGTTCAGGGCCAAAGGGTTAGAGGAAGACCTAGGAAAATTTTAGAAGAGACTCTAAGAAAAGACTTTGAGTACTTGGACCTAACAGAGGACATGACACAGAACCGAGCACAATGGTATTCTATGATTCATATAGCCGACCCCACTTAGTGGGAAAAGGCTTTGTTGTTGTTGTTCTTGTTGTTGTTGTTGTTATTGTTGTTATGATTTCCCTAGGATATATATACTTTGCCAATATGAGGTCTAGATGACCAAGAGTAGTAAGATGATAAGACTTCAACCAGAAAGATAGGAAAAAAAAAGAACAGAGATGTGGTACCATAATTCAAAAGAAGCACATGAATATGAACATGGTATTATAATAGTAATGACACACCGAGAACTTCTGCAAGGAGGTTTGAGCATCAACATCAGCAGATCTGCTTTGGTCACCAAAAAATTGTGCAGAAGAGATAGATTTTGCATTTGTGAATTTCTTTCTTGCTTCATCAGACTCCTGAATCTGAAAAACAATAAAACCTGAATATTTAACGAAAAAATAACATGAACAGAAATGAAAACTGGTTTTCAGAGTGTTCTGAACCATGACATAAATAAGTCTTCACATGTCACAAATCTATTCTTATAGGTGTCTCTAGGAATCAATATCCAAGTGCAAAAGGCCAATTGCAAACATCCAAAAGAGCGAACAATATTAGACAACATTTAGATTGAGGAAACCACCAGCAGTATACATTCTCCTGAAGAATAAATGCGTTTTTCCTGAACAGGTTTATAGTTAATACAATCTCACAAGGCACACTTTATTTCCACATCCAAAAATTATATGGCAGAGCCAAGTCAGCCAGACTGGTTGGTGTCATGCGAGGATTGTATATTCCATCTGTCATAAGAAATTTATTCTGAATGTAACTCTACTATTCAATAAACAAGGACTTACCATTTGAGGTATATGGTTTGCTGCTTTAAAACAACATAGAACGGGAATGGATAAAAAAAAGAGCACTCCTCACCAAGCATCAATAAGCCAGTTAAAGTACCATAACGAATAATCTCATTCATCTCGTTAAAGATCATACTCTACCTATTTGTCTTGAAATCATCTCTTACTTTTGTATCAGAATACAAAAGAACAGATTTGTGCCTGACTATTGTTTCGCTTCCTGGTAATATAGTGCCTGTCTATTTTCTTCTTTCCTCAACAGGATAGTAGGAAAAGTTTAACCTGTCTGGTTCTCTTAAATTTATCACCCTGACACTTCTAAATCATGTCAACTCGTTGCTCCTGGTCTGATAGTGAAACATGTATCTAAGGACTAGGGCACATAAAAAATTTGCATAGTGAAACATGTATCTAAGGAACTGGGCACATGACATTTTTTAAATTGCATATGCTAATCCACAATTTAGGGCTTGTAAGGAACCTTTATATAATAATCAAGTGACACAGAAACAGAAATAGCTCCATCCCTTGTGAGGTATCTGAACTAGTTCTTGTGAGAAAACTACTTTACATGTTAATGTCATTGGTCATAAATAACTTACTTGAACTTTTGAGGTATTTGAATTAGTTTTCTTGGGAAAGTTACTGTCCATTCCAAAATCTGCAAAGAAATTTGATGACTTCGGTGGAGCAATATGGCTAATTACATGAGCGCCAGTGGGATTTGTCTCAGTATTTTGGACAATTTCTACATACTCAAATCGAGATGCAAAGGATGATCCAGCTGTTGGAGTGCTGTTAGTTGAGGAAGGCACTGGCACTGGGACAACTGGATCTTCAGGTTTCTGATCGTACAGGCTTTCATTAGGCTGCATTTGATAAAGTTAAGAGAGAGAGGCTTTCTGGTTAACATATAATCAAATAAGAAACAGAATTCAAAGATACTACTATGAATAATCTACCCCAATTTAAGTACGCAATCACAACCTTTGTAGTAAGTTTGCGAGCACCAAGCCCCCCAGTCTTCCCAATTTTCTTAGCACCACCAAGAGGCTTCTTAACAGTACTGGTAACATATGTATGGGGGGCTTTCTGGGAAGCAGTGATTTCAGGCGTTTCTTTCCTTGCTATAGAGTTCTCTTCTGGAGCTTCCTGGGTCTTAACATCAAGAATCCCATTAGATGCTTGTCCTGACTGAGCTGCAACAGGTGATGGTGGAAGACCTGCCTCTTCTGCCATACTTTTGACTACTTCTTTAGAAAGTATTTGCCTATACAACTCGGCAGCTCTTGATGTATACTTAGCCTCAATTTTGCCTCCATCCGTCCATCCATGCTGCTTAAAGAACACTTGTGCACGGTTGTTTCCCCCGAAGCTCATCGTTCTCAGCTGTTCAGGAGTCCATGAGTCTAAATTTGTAGACCTATAAAAAGTTAAAAACAAATGTAAGACACTTGTCATTGCCTTCATTGTTGATTTTACAGTTATTTTAAAGAAAAATCTAAATAAGAATGTTAATATGATAAATTATCAAATACAATGTTGTTAAAATTTAAATAATCTAACATCAAATTGATTCAACCTCAAATAATTGAAAAATAAACAATCTCAGTTGTACTTTAAATTACGAAGACAAAATATATATTAAAAAGTAACTTAGATGTAAACTTAGAAAGTTAGAATCAATAAATGGGGAAATAAGATTTTAACAATTTGATGGAAATAAAATCTGTAATCAGACTATCAGATCCAACCATGATGGTGCTCTGTTCTTATTTCTTAGCAAGCCTAATGTTGGAATGTGGAAGATTTGTCTCTCTAATTGCCGAGCTGGCTGCCTTGATCCCAAACAAACCAAAGACTAGGAAGCTTTGACATCCTTAAGAGGAAGATTCCCCCGTCCTTAACAACAAAAGGAGCAACTATTAAGACATTTCTATGCAAGCATTGTATATTGCACAACACTAGATAAGATTTGCCAATGAACAACTGTGACCATCACTCTATTGGCCGTTGACTAGAAATTACATTAAAAAAACTAAACGGAGATTTTAAGGTTAAAACATGAAGCTAACCTTTTCTTATAACCTTAATGTCTCATTCATTGCTAGAGCTAGTCTGCAATTTACAATAACCATACAGGGAAAAAGCAAAAAGGCTTGCCTATTCAAACCAAAATTCCTCCTTCAAATTAGGAACAGGAGCAAAGATTTCCCGAAAAAAACAGAGCGGCCAAGTAAGTCAGAAAGTGACAATCAACAAAAGCATAAGTTATTGCAGAAACATCCAGAACGACAACATCAATGCATTCTGAATTACATAAAACTAAAGGGTTCCTGGTATTCGTTTGTTTGTGTATCTGCAGTTTCTTGTCTACTTTTGCATATTTCAGAACAATGCATGTGACAGTTTACGGTTTCTAGAAGAAAGCATGATCTTGTGCAGTACGGACAATGCAACACCCTCAATTCCATCCGATCAAATGTGCATCGAGTCACCAAATTTCTAAGATTTAATTAATGAAACAAACTATTACTTGGATCCCCAACATTCAGGCTATTCAACCCCTTCACCGTGCTTCCAGTTCCAAACATAAATTAGCAGCATAAATACGTACATACATATATGTATATGTGGTGACTCCAAGCGAACACTGAAAACTTAACGAATCGAAGATTGAGAGAATTAACAATCTGTTACTGCTATACGAAATCATACCTAACAAAGCTGATATGAACGCCGAGACTGCGATGAACGGCCGAGCAATCGATGCAGAGAAAGATCCCATACGTAACCGATGCCCAAGTCGGGTTCTTTGCATTACAATCGAAACACATCTGAACCAAATACACCACAAAATACATTAAAAAGCAAGTAAATAAAGATCTCAACAAAGAATTCACAGATCTGAATCAGATCTCACAAACCCATATCGAATTTTTCACAAAAATTAAAAACCCATAAAAAAAAATACAAAAAAAAAAGGGAAAAATGAAACTAAAAAAAACCAACCTTGTTTTCTGACTTTGCTTTCAGTTTTCTGAAAACAGCGGTCTTGTCGTTTGAGATTTCGGACGCCATTGGGAAGGCAATTCAAATCCCAGAGAAACAGAGAGAAATCAAATAAATCCGAAGAGGTGCTTGGAACACCTCCTCAGGCAAAAGAGAGAAGAGACGGAGACTAAAGGTTGAAGTGAAATCCCCAAATCGATTTTAGCTTTCTGTTTTTTGGAATTTTTATTTCGCAAAAATTTTTAAACGAAAGCATTTTATGATGCGCACGGTTGGGCAAAATGGCTAAATTGCCCGTGCGTTTTTGGGGTATTTGCGGCTTTGGTGCTTTTGGTTATGTCGAGTGGTAATTAATGATTTGGATGAAGGTTAAATGCAAAACCAATCGTTAATGGCTGGGGGGCTTGTATGGGATGGGCCAAGCTGAACCTTGAGTTGTTCATTTTTTCTTTAAAACGTTTTGATTTTAGTATAAATGACATTGTTGGTTAAAAAAAAAAAAAAATATTGATTTTAAAATCATTGGGAGAGCTTGCCCTCCGAATGGGTTCCGACCCGGCTCAAGGGATTAATCCTTGTCTAAGTGCAGGGGATACCCTGGATTCATCCAAAACGTGAGATGAATAGACGTAGAGAAAATAACTTTTACTGTTTTACATATAAATATCTATTTATAATGAGGTCTAATTTGAGTTGAATCATTTTGAAATGTTACTATATAAAAATAAAAAAGGGCTTAAATAGTCCTTGAGTTTTATTCATATGCCAATTTAATCCTCGTGTTTAAGCTTGGCCAAATTGATTCTTGTGTTTTACTCTGTCAGTTAATGTAGTCCATTAGTGATTGAATGGGTGGGGACTCCGAAAGCACATGCAGGATAAACAAGTGATTCAGATTTAAAACTGGGTCCAGTCGAGAAAGAACAGAAAACTCTCAACAAGCCAAAACTAATCAAGATCAATAGGAAGACTAGTAATTTATTGACAAAGTTAGTTCATGCGACAATCTATATGGAAGGGCAGTTTATTTGATGCATTCCTATTGAGGAAGTTTTTTTTAGACTATCTCCGAAGGAGATGTCAAATTCTAAGTGGAATGTCATGTAATCAAATTTGAAGGTAAGAAAAATGTCCAACCAAAATGTCAATCGTATGTGGATTGACATATGAATTTTCATATGTCAAATTTGACATATAAGAAAATGTGATGTTAAATTATTTTTTTAATTATTTTATTGTGTGGGTCTCATCAATGCGCCAATTATAGATCTTGAACATTTATTTTAATTGATTTCTTTTTTAAAATGGATCCTACAAATATCATTTATAACAAAAAAAAACATCGGTTGGAGGAAGAGAAAATCTGACATTGCCATGTCAGCCATCAAATTAACATTTGAAATTTATCTTTTGAGATCTCCATTGGAGATAGTCTTATTCTCCAACTCTAGAGTCACTTTGTAACGACCTGTCCCCAATTGTTATCATTTTTATAATTTTTTAAATGTGAATTTACGAAAATGCCCTTCGAGGTAAAGTGTTGAATTTTGTTGACTGCCGTGTTGTGTCACGTAAGGTTCAATTTCTTGGCGTATCCTCGTAGTACTTGTCGCCACGAACGCGTGGGCGCAAACGGATCGTGATTTGGAGTTATAACGAAGGAGTTTTAACATTTAAAGTTGGGGGCATTTTGTAAATTGGTTAATATCAAGAAAATTCCAGATTTTTGGAGCAAAATCCGGGATGCCACGTGTGTGGCCCAGATTAAAAGGAACAAAGGATGGTCGGTGCAGATGGAGTATATAAGAGAGAAAGGAGGGAGGAACTGGACCAATCAGAAAATGAGAGATGATAGGGTGAGCAATCAAAAAAAAAAGGAAGGAGGGGAAAGGAGAGAAAGGGAAAGTGGGGGATCCTCGACCCATCCCCCTTCTTCCGACCCAACCCGGCTCCCATTTGTGTTCTCCGATGAATTTCATCCATTTCTCCTGCAAACCAAGTCACCTAACCACAGGGAAAACATTCCCTATCATTCTCTCTTCCTATTACACCCTAGAAATCATAGATTTTTAGCATGGAATTCGGGAAACACCACACCGGTGGGTGTGGCGGTTCTTGAGACGATCCTCCCATTTCTGAAACATTTTCTTCCAATTACCACCACCCCTAGACTTTTCTTAAGGCCTGGAATAAAGCCCAACCAACCTTAGGGGCGGTAGAGTATCGGAAAAGTCGAATTGAAGCTCACCCTTTATGGGGTTTCCGACTAATTGAGGGGAAATTAAGGTGTTTCCCGACCGAATTGGCCTTGGTCATAGGTATGAAAGTTGCTCCACTCACTAAGATCTTCATTTTTGTGAAGTTTGAGAATTTTTAGAAATAGTTGAATTTTCCGGCAAGTCAGGGCGGCCAACCGGCGAGTGCGGCAGCGATTGGGCCGAGACGTTCCCTGACCTTCCTAGGTTAAACTTGAATACTCTGATTCCATTGGTGAAGTTCTATTGATGAATTTCCATCATTTGAATTTAGTTCCATGAAAGTCCGCCGCTTGATTATTATAGCAATCGACAATCCGATCGTTGGATCATCACCAAACTTTGATACGTTATAATACGTAATATTTGAGGATATTAGAAACTTACAGATCAGGAATCCGACGTGCGGATCTTCCCAGTTAGGACATGTAAGTTATATGTCTATTGATAAGAATTCTAAGACATGATTTGATAATTGTTCTAGGCGACAATCGTTCGTGACACCTTGATATTTGTGATGGGGAGTTGTAGCGCGGACTCCAGGTGAGTGGGCTTTTAGTTTTCTGTATATATATGTATGTATACTTTACGTTTTTCCTAGAAATTGTTTTAAATGAAATGTGATTGAAATGTCATGTCATACTTGTGTTATATTTTAGTGTATGCATTGGTATAGTCATGTATAATGTTGCATGATGCTATGAAGCCTAGGTAAGCTACAGGTGAGTATATTATGATATTAGCGGTTGTGATGTATATGGTTATGCCTGGATGCATTTGGTACTCATTATCCTGCACCCTGGTGTTAGTGCTCTACCCGAGGTTAGGGCCAGCCTTCACATGATCATTCACCTCCCGCACCGTACGCTTACCTTGGATCTAAGGTAGGTGCCAGCCTATTATACAAACCACATTACGTGGTTCCGACTCGTAGGTGACTTGCGATACTTCACACAGCCTTCACGTGATCGTAGCATTTGAGAGTATTTATTACACCCAGCATATCGTACAGATCACATTAGGTGGTTCTGACTTGTGTGCAGGTTTAGAGCCGTACAGATCACGTTAGGTGACTCCGGCTGGCATATCATTTTACATTGATTTATTTCCCCTGGCTTACTTATTTCATTGCTAAGATACTTGACATGGCATATACTTGGTTTTCCCTACTCTCGAGCATGATTTCTATATACGTATGTATTATTATTTTCTGGGAAATTATACGGGTTTTACGGCAAGGGGTTATAATGTTTTCAAAAAGGTTTTTATTAAAAACTTTATTTTCAGGCCCACTCACCCTTGTTTTTTAGCCCCTCTAGGTTTTAGCTGCTGAAAGTCTGTATCGATGAGGATTTGTGGCGAATCTCAGTATAGGTGGCTACCTCTTAGGGTATGATCCTTACCCACACTACTGTACTTTACTTATACTCTGACGTCACGTGTGAAATGGGTTCATTTCCGCTCACAGTGCACTTTGGTCTTTAGGCATTTTTAGGTTCAAATTTATTCACATTTTCCACATCACTATACTTCATGGCTTCGTCACCTTCCAGGTGTCGGCCAGCACATCTCGATTCGGAGTCCTAGTGGACATTCCGGGTCGGGGTGTGTCACACTTAGAACTATACCATTTAATGGTATTCCTTTTCACTTGTAAGTGAGAGGTCTTAGGTTCGATTCTCGTCAAAGGCAAATTTCAACCACATTATTGCTAGCCCATTGTGAGACTTAACTCACTCCCTCATCTTCTTAGGTCATCTTCAACCGCAGGAGCCATGTTTAGCCCCATCCAGATTATAGCCCTGCAAAAATATTATTTTTTAATGAACACTGCCAAGCCATATTTATATATATCATCTCCAATCCAAGGAGGCTAATTTTTAGCCCCCTCAATAATTTATTGTTTTTTAACTTTGTTCTTTAACTTTATTAGTTAAGTGAATTAAACTACCATATTTATAAATGAGTAACTCTTCAAATTTCTTATTTTTATGTAATCTTACTAATTTTTCAAAATGTTATGTTTGTTTTGCTTCAAAAAAAAAAATTTAATTTTTCGGATAAGATTTTAAAGAATGCAAAGAATAGAAATAAAATGAGGTAAGATAGTATGGAAGGATAAAAATGATGTGAGAAATGACTTAAATATATATAGGGAAAAAATGGGATCGGATCATCTTCTGATTCCTTCCTTGTGGATCCTAGGGATCCTTCAAGCAAGAGCGTTAAATTAAAAGTGGACGGCCATAATTAATTTGAATTCTTTCTTCCCTTTACGAAACGCCTCCCTCCATCTTATTCACTGTCTTCTCTCTCAATCTTCACATTCTTCTCTTCACCATTTCTTACACCCCGAAAAATTAATTTCAATTATGCCCAAACAAGTCCTCCATTCCAAACACACTTATAACCCAGAAATTAAATCTCCGAACAGCCAAGCCAAGGAAGGAGAAAGAGGAGAAAATTTCCCATTAAAATTTCATATTTTGTATTTGACGAGAAAACAATTAAACCCAGGGAAGGCGAAGGGGAGAAAAATAGTTAGGATCGAAGATTGTCGCTTGGGTTGTCTCCTGCAAATCAGCACTCAAACGCTTAAGGCACAGCCCGCTAAAAGAGAAGCAGCAGAGACAGTGGACTCGCCAATTTAGTGTTGAAAGAGAAGAGAGAGAGGTAGAACTTTTGATGTGAAATTGAAATGATTTCTACTTCAAATGGTTACAGCTTTTTGATGGAACAAAGGGAAGAAAACTGTAGAAAGTTCCAAAAAAAATTTTCAACTGAAATTGAGAGAGGAAAGAGAGACTGATTTTGACATGAAAACCATTAAAAAGAAGAATAAATTAATAGTTTTATATTCATCTAACGACCATTATTAAATTGGTCTGGAGACTCCGCTTTGAAAGCTCCGAAAAGGACCCGAGCTTGAAAAAAAAATCTAACGGCTAGCTGATATCAGCTAAAATGTGTGTTGCTGATAG